ATGTGCCATAATAACATTTCTTTTCAAAGTGAGGAGAAAGAGAACTAAAAGAAACAGGTACAAAAGTTTTCTCTAGCTTTGCCTCATTTGTCTCTCAGTTATAGAATAAACCTTACCAATAAAGTAAGAAATAGAAATAGCAATAGCAGGTAGGTTCTGGAAGATGAACTGTACTGTAAATGTAATACAAAAGCCACTTAACATGATAATAATTCAAAGTAAAATTTATAATGAAAACGAAGATCCTTCGGTTCATGAGCGTGATGATTGGGTGTTCATGCCATCTGCATGAGATGTGCCTCCCTTAAACCTTGTTACGACATCGGCACATTACCCGTCTGATGTGAGAAGAAAAAAGAAAAAGAAAACCAAGACATTTAAAGTTTTGTCATTTGTTATATTCTATGTCAAATAATGTCTTCCTCTTCATACACAAGAAGAATGTTGACATCTTTCATTCATATGACATGAAGATATCTTATGTACTATTTCCCTGAGGATTTTGCTTTTTTTTTTTTTATTAGCACTCATTTGCCATACATAGTGAGTTACATTCATCTTGGGAAGTAGGTACATATCAGATCTTAGTCCTTTTTACTTCCCCTTTGCCTCTATCACAAATTCCTTTTCCATCTCCAAAGGTCTATGTTCCTGTTTCTTATCATCTATCTTATATTTTTCCCTTTAAATTACTGATAGTTTGGGTTTCTCATATAAGAGAAACAACTGAATATTTAACCTGTGTATGATTTCTTTTGCTTAATGTTATGGTCTCAAGGTGTACCTAGTTTCTTACAAATGACTCAAATTTATTCTTCTTTGCAGTTGAGATATAAAATTTTCTTTATCTGTTCATCTCTCAGTGAACATTGAAACTGTTCCTAGGATTTAGCTGTAGTGAGTTGCGTTGCTATAAAAATGGGTGTGCATATATCACTGTAATACGATGTCTTTAACTCTTTTGGGAAGATACCCAGAAGTGGAATAGCTGGGTCAAATGGAATTTCTAGTTTTGGTTTTTTGAGGAATCTCCATATTGATTTCCACAGTTGTGCTAGTTTACATTCTTACCAATAATGTGGAAGAATTCCTTTTCTTCCACAAACTTTCCAGCATTTATTGGATTTTTGTTCTGTTTTGAGTTTGTGACAATAGCCATTCTTTCTGGAGTAAGATGAAATCTCAGTGCTGTTTTGATTTACATTTCTCTAATGGCCAAAGATGCTGAATATTTTTTCATGAACTTTTTGGCCCTTTGTACTTCTTCTGAGAAGTGTCTATCATATCCATTGTCCATTTTTTACTGTCTCTTACTTGGAAGGGTCTCTCATTTTTTGAGCCTTTTATATATTCTAGATACTAGGCCTCTGTCAAAGGTGTAGATGGCAAATTTTTTTCCCCTACTGTAGGTTATTTCTTCACTCTGTTGATTGTCTCCATTGCTGGGCAGATGTTTTTGATATAATCCCATGAAGTGATTCTTGGTGCTTTTTCTTGTACATTTGGGGTCCTGTACAGAAAATCCTTACCTATTCCTATGTCTTCAAGAATTTTGCCTAATTTATCTTCCATCACATTGGGTGTTTCTTTCTTTTTTTTTTTTTTTAAGAGTAGGAAAATTTATTGGGCAAAGGCAGGAGGAGTAGGAATAGCTCTTGAGAGACAGGAGGGGTCCCAAATGGGTTGCCAGTGAGCCCACTTCTCAAAGGAAGTTTTATAGAGCAAAATCATGAGGTGGATATAATGAGGGTCAAAATTATGATTAACCAAGGAGATTGCAAGTATAGCTGCTTAGATAACATTGATCCAATGGTAGCAAGGGCATATGGTGACATCACTAACCCCGGTTTATAATCTGTAGTTTTAATTGTCTCTTTAGCCTTAGTTTCAGTAGTCTTAGTCTTAGTTTTAATGGTTTGAGTCTTAGTGGGTGGGAGAGGATGACCCGCACCTAGTGAGATAGTGGGAACTCTCAAAGGGACGATACCAATAATTTCAAACTTTTGTTTATCCCTTAGGGAAGCATGTAAATCTAGCCATTGTAGCTTTAATCTTCAAATGCCCTCCAGCCACAGTTCTGATGCATTCTCATCTGCACTGACTCCCTGGAGGGCCCAGCCCTGTCTAACTGCCTACTCTATTTCTATTTAACCTAACTGTCTATACTATTCTCTTCTCTGAAGAGGTAACCCTAACTGTGGTAAGGGGAGAAGGGGCATAATTTCCATCTAGCTACTTTGAGCTGAGAAGGGCCAGTGTAAGGGAAACCAGTCAGGGGCCTCCTCCAGAGAGCTGTTCTAATGAGCCCTGGCTCAAAATCATTGCAGTTTAGCAGTTATGAACTCCCTTTATGAAGTTGGTATAGTGGATCCTGGTAAAGGGAGTCTGGCACCTTTGTGGTTGGTTTCATCTGTATGATCACTTGGAGTTTAGCAGCCTCTAGGCAAGAATAAACAAATTTTCCAAGAAGTTAAACACGTATCCTCAAAGCATGAGCACTAGAATGGAAAGGCAGGTTGGGGAAAGGGCCGTGTCCTGAAACTGCTCTTAAGGGCCTGGAATAGAGACTGTTCCCCTTTATTGACGGAGGTTGTGTCTGTCTGGTATTTCTTGCTGTAAGTCCTTCTAGTTTAGCTGTAAGAAGAAGGAATTTAAAGACTCTTGTTGAGCTATTACAGACTCCACTGTAGATTCTCCTGCCTTAATGAATCACAACAGGGGTGGGCTACTGGTGCAGCTAGAAATTGCCAGAAGGAGTCCGCGATTTGAGCCTCTTTTTCTATTTAGTTTTTTTCAGTCTGCTATGTAAAGGATCACATCATCTGCAAATAAGGATAGTTTTATTTCTTTTCATATATAGTTTGACTTCTTTTCCTATGTAGAGATCTATCTATCTACAGATAGATCTATCTATCTGATAGATAGATAGGTAGATCTATATATATCTATTTATATGTAACTTTTATTTCTTTCTCTTGCCTGATTACTCTGTCTAAAGTTTAAAGTACTATGTTAAACAGAAGTGATGATAATGGAAACCCTTGTCTTGTTCCTGATTTTAGAGGAAAAGCTTTCATTTTTCCCCCATTTAGTGTGTTGTTGGCAGTGGTTTTGTCATAAATGGCTTTTATTAGTTTGACATAAGGTCCTTCTATACCTATTTTCCCCAGGGTGTTTATCTTGAATGGATGTTGGACTTTGTCAAAGGCTTTTTCTTTTCTTTTTTTTGTACCCGGAATCGAACTCAGGAATTTTCGCTTGCCAGGCAGGCACTTATGCCACTGAGCTATATCCCTAACCCTGTCAAGGCTTTTTCTGAGAAGATCCTGTGACTCTTGCCCTTGATCATGTTTATGTGATGTGTTGTATTTGATGATTTATGTATATTGAACTATCCTTACATCCTTGGGATGAAGTCAATGTGGTTATAATGTATGATCTTTTTAATGATTTGTTGCATTCTCTTTGTCAGTGGCTTGTTGAGGATTTTTAATATCTATGTTCATTAAGGACATAGATGTTTTATTTTTTTGTTTGTTGTTAAGTTCTTGTCTAGTTTTCATATTAAGGTAATTTAGCTTCCAGGAGTTAATTTGGCAGTATGCCTTCCCTTCAGTTTTACTGAAGAGTTTGAGGATTATTGGCATTAGGTCTTTCCTGAAATTCAATTCTCTGGAGAATCCATTCGGTCTAGAGCTTTTCTTTGTTTGTTGACTTTTTATCAATGTCTCTTTTATGTTGCCTGTTATCTGTCTATTCAGAGTTTTTGTATCTTCTTGGTTCCGCTTTGGTCATTCATATCTGTCTAGGCATTTCTCCATGTCCTCTAGGTTATTCAGAGTAGTTTCTTGTAATCCCCTGGATGTCAGCAGTGTTGGTTGAGATTTTGCTTTTCTCATTTCTAATGTATTGATATGGGCTGTTTCTTTCTTTCTTTTTTTTCTTTCTTTCTTTGTCTCTTTCTTTCTTTGTTTTTTCTTTTTTCTTTCTTTTTTCTTTGTTTTTTTTTTCTTTGTTTGGTAAGTTTGGTTAAGGGCTTACCATCTTATTTATCCTTTCAAAGCACCAACTCTTTGATTCATTGATCCCTTGTATTATTTTTTCAGTCTAACATTAATTTTTGCTCTGATCTTTAAAATTTCTTTTCTTCTATTAATTTCAGATTTGGGCTGCTTTGAGATACATCATTAGGTTATTTGTGATCATTTAATTCTTTTAATGGTGCATTCACAGCTATAAACTTCCCTCTTAGAATTCCTTTCATTGTATCCCATAGGTCTTGGCATGTTTTGTTTTCATCGTCATTTGCGTTCAGACACTAGGAGGTAAGAGCAATGTTCTGAGAGAAAGTGAACAGCAGCTTGGCTAACCCAAGGAATTTCACTCTCTTAGCCAATGAGATATAAGGGGAAATCAGCTGGGATACTTTTGGGAAACAGTTCCTTCCCTATTTAATAAATGGACACATTTACACAGGACACACGAGAAGACTGCCATCTTTCCCTTCTTCCTGATTTGAAGTCAGTAGTGTGAGGATGAGAAGGTGCTTGGTGTTAACTGCACCATAGGAGGAAACACCATCCGTGTGCTGATGATATTGATGCAGAAACACAGAAAGATATGACATTTAAGTTGCAACCTCATGGGGAATGACCTCTCTGCAGACTTCCTGTCCCACAGCTGAACTTGCTTCTGCACTTGCTGCTGAATGTTGTACAACTTCCCAATGAAAACAGCTACTTTACCTCTCTGACCCTCAGCTTTTCTTTTATGAAGTGGTGGCAATAACACCTACTCAGCAGGGTAGTTGTGAGGAGGAAATGGAATAACAAAATGCCTAACATAAAGGAATTTAATAATTTTAATAACATCATAATCATGAAAATATCATAATCATGAAAACCCATGATATATAAATTCCTAACAGTGGGAATGTTCTCATGGGACCTGGTACCTTCTGCCTACAACAGTGGCCTGGGAAAAATACAACCAGCTGTTACCTCTGCTCTGAATGCCGGGGAGCTCAGCCATGGTGCCTTGGGCCTGGCAGCTAAAAGGTCCAACCTGTAAAGAAAAAAAAAATAAAAATAAATATATAAGATCAAAAGATAATTGGAAATGCAATTCCTTAATATTTCAAAACATCTATGCAAGCCATAGTGCTCTTTTCTTCTGTCCCAGAAATCCCAACTCTGGCAAGCAAGCCAACAACAATGATTCAAATAAAGAAGAAAAAGTTTATTTATGAAATCTTTATCTCACCACAATTTTTACAGACTTGAGAATTAAACTGGTCGGGTGTGGTGATGCATACCTGTAATCCCAGCACTCAGGAGGCTGAGGCAGGAGGATCGTTGTGAGTTTGAGACCAGCCTAGGCTACGAAGTGAGCTCAAAGCCAGCCTGAACTGCATAGGGAGACCCTGTCACAAAAAGACAAAGACAGAGAGAGAGAGAGAGAGAGAGAGAGAGAGAGAGGGAGGGAGAGAGAGAGAGAGGATTAAGCCATAATGCTTCCCTTTGATGTCACATAACTATGAGGCCAACATAATAATTTTTTCCTGGTGATGTAGGAGTAAGGCAATGTAATTTTTGATGTACTGAGATGAAAAAAATCACAATATGAGGGTATGTACACTCTGATTACAACCACGTGGAACATGGTTATAATTGATCTGGATGTAAATGGCAAATAGATTATTAAATATGTGCAGCAAAACACTGGAATTAAGGGAGCTGCAGAGTGTTCAAGACACTGCCAGGAAAGGGAGGGAAGAGGAAAAAAAATGGCAGTGCTAATAGTGTGGAACATAAAGGGCATTGTTTTCTCTCTATTAAGGTTTCTGGATGGATTTTGAAGAGATCCAGGCAGCCAAGTTCACAGCTAAGAGTGGAACATAAAGGTACAGATGATTCCTCCACCCCTACAGCTGCATCCAGAGAAGGCATCAGAGGCAGGAGACCCACACCCAGGTTACACAGCCTGGGCAGGCAGGAAGATAGCTAGCTCTTCAGACACTGCAACAAGGTACAGAGCGTATGAAACCTGGGACTCAGAGAACAAAGGGCAGCCATTTCCCATTTTCTAGGTAAATATGTCGTGTAGAATGTTTCCTATTGATTTGTCTTCTATTATGAAAGTCTGTGATCAGAATGCTAGAAAACCATGAGTAGTCAGATTTCTGTCTCTCACAGGAGCTCTATGGAAGGCAAGATATCAGCCATATTCCATGAAGCCAGTTATGTAGGAGGAGCTGGAAGGGCACACACGTATCACAAAGAGATGCTTAAAAAGCATGTGAAAGATAAAAATAAATATATAGGTATGCTAATATAAGCTAAATATAAATATTTCTCAATTAGTGCCTACTGTATCCTATGACTACTTAGGTCTTCATACATCAACATGCTGACACATCATGAATTGGGAGTTCTCTCCGGTGCTTGACTTGCATTTTGTCATAGAAATTCCTTTATCTGCCTCCATATGACCACTGCACATACTAATAAGACAGAATTCTGTGCCCATATGGCCTACAGGAGGTAGGTAGAAGCAGGCTCTTTGTAGGAATGAGGTCATATACCGCTTTGAAGAACAAGAGCTTGCTGACTCAGAGGGCAAGGTCACGAGCCCTTCGCTGTCACCAAGGATGATTTCTGATTCACCTTCACATCCTCTCCCCACTTCGGGTCCCTTACTAACTGGTTTCCTCCACCCAACTAAGTCCTCCTGTACTATTGAGCCCTAAAACAAAGTAAGTGGCTTCTTTTTTAATATGACAAATGGTTTACCCTGCCCACTTAAAAAAATCCAGAAATGAAAATTGTACTTACCTGCCCATATAATCTTTTTCTTTTTCTGGGACAGGGTCTCACTATGTAGTCCAGGCTAGCCTTGAACTCACAGCAATCCTTCTGCCTCAGCCTCCAGACTGCTGAGATGTGTGCCACCATGCCTAGCTTTGTCATAATCCTGAAAGAAAATCAACATCATGCTATAGTATAAGCAATAAAGAAAAATAATTTATAATAAAATGACACATAGTTCTGTACATTAGTGCTCAGACACAATTACACTGAAGGCATCATCAAGTTCTTGCACCCACAGGAGTGTAATGGTATCTTTAGTGTACCTTTATCAGCAACTTAAATGTCACATTTATGTTCAGATTGCTGCTGGTGGTGAAAGGATTTTCTGAACAGCTCCTAGTAAAGCTCCAAACAAAAGAAAGCACAAATTTCCCTCAATTTATATATGCTATGGTTTGGAAATGTTTATGCCCCAAAGGTTCATGTGCTGGGGAGCTGGTCTCCAGTGTGGCAGTATTGGGAGGCAGTGGAGCCTGTAGGAAGCAGAGGTGGTAGTTAGGACGTGGGGGTACCACCCTCCTGAATGGACTAATGCTGCCTTGCTGAGGTTCTGACTTCCATGGACCGGATTAGTTGTTTGAGAGCAGGCTGTTTTTTGACCAAGGCTGCCCATAGTCATTTCCTTTTCTGCCCTCACCAGTATGTCAGTGCCAAGATGTTAGGACCCTAGAGCCACCGAAATTGTAAATCAAATTACCCTTTTTACTTTCTAAATTATCCAGCCTGAGGTATTTTGCGGTAGCAATGGAAAACAGACTAAGGTTGGATAGTGGTTGCATTGCTGGAAAGTGTATGTGAAAACCATGTGTAAAATAGTTTGCATTTATACATAAAACAAAATTAGGGCTGGGGCTGGGGGTTTGCATTTATACATAAAACAAAATCAGGAGGCTGAGGAAGAAGGATCATTATTTTAAGATCAGCCTCAGCAATTTAGTGAGATGCTGTCTCAAAATAAAAATATTTTAAAATAAGACCTGGGGATTGTAGTTCAGTGGGAGGCTCCAAGTTCAATCCCAAGTACTGTAAAAAAAAATAGGTTCCAGAATTTTTAAATACTAGGCTTTTGGTCTTGGGATATAGCTCATTGGTGGAGCTCTTGCTTACATGCACAAGGCCCTAGGTTCAATCCACAGCAGTACCCCCAAAAAAGTGGGTTTTAAAAAACTACATAAATGCTTGGGTCATTCAAAAATTGAATTCAAATTCAATATATCTTCTTTTCCAGGTGTGGTAGTTCATGCCTGTAATCCTAGCACTTGGGAGGCTGAGGCAGGAAGATCACTACAAGTTTGAGAGCACTCTGGGCTACAAAGTGAGCTCAAGGCCAATCTGAACTGCATAGTGAGATCCTGTCTCAAAGAGACCAAATAAGGAAACCTTCTTTCTTGCTCAGAATTGTTCTGGGCATGACAGGATATCTAGCATCTCTGGCCTCCCATCCATGGGGTTCCAGAGGTGCACTCTATTCACACTTTCGAAGTTCTGCCTTAGACAGCCACTGGACTCAGTGGATGGGCCGACTCTGTTCACTGGCCATTTTTCTCTGCCTGAGGAAAGGCTAATCATGGGCAGAAGAACCTTCAAACAGCAATCCATGAACATCTTGCACCTGTGGCAACTACCCCACATTCAGAGACCCAGCTTACTACTTCAAGGTTACCTAATCAGTGAGTCATGGATGGAATTACACGTCTTGGAGAATTTCAACTTCTAGCATAACTGTCACCACAATACTCCCCTGCCCCATATTTGTCATGCTTCACCCTGCCTCAACCCTGATTCACTCACTGAGGATCTGCTGGAGGCTAGGAAACTTGTGGAGTTCCCGGGGCTGCTGGTTCTCACCTACCTTCCTTCTACTGATCCTTGACAGGCCACTGCTGTGGACGTCTAACACAGAGAAGTGTGACTCCAGGGATTGCATCCTCTAAGTATGTGACCACTGCAGGCAGGGGGAGAAGAAAGAAAGATTGTGAAAACTTAATGCATGCTACTTGCTTATGTGTGCATAGATTATGTCTAGAAAAATACCCGAGGAATCAAAGGCATTGGCTGTTTTCCAGTCAAGGACCTGCATAGCTGAGCAGGTGAAAAGGGCTTCTCTCAAGCTATGCCCTTTTTGGTACTTTTTCAATGTATATGGATAGTCTGAAAATAGAAATAAATTTGACTTTTAGAAGTTGTAGTCCTTGGGAAAATTATTAATTAGATTATTTCAAGTAGAGAAAGTAAGAGAAAGATGAGGTCATAAGACAAAGACAGAGATGGGGCTATGGAGCCCAGGAAAAGGAGGCCTGGTCAGGAGGGCTTTGTTGACATTTCTCTAGCACTTTCCAAGGGAATAAAGCTCTTATTCTTACACCGTCTTCCTTTAGACCTAGCTGTAGAGGGAGGAAAAGTAATCAGTTCCCACTGTCCCATAATGAGCAGTCTCTTAAAAACAACTAACTTCCTGTCATTTCCAAACTAGCTATTCGGCCATTGTTTCCTAGCTGGCTTATTCAGTACCTGTGAGCACCCGCCACATGCTTCCCTTTCTCCTCCTTCCCTGGGTGCACAGCACAGAAAACTGGCCCCAATCTTGGGCCCTTCAGATTCTACGGGAAATGTAATAAACAGCCTTTTCGCTTATAAATTATTTTTGTGGGCGGAGTTGGTGAATATGCCTTGATCTTCCAGGCCTAACTACTTGTGTGAGAATTGGCAAAAGTGTATTTCTCAGCTCACACTCTGAATCATGAAGCTCTACTCAGGGATCCTCTTGGGAGTCCTTATGTTAGGGCAGTGCAGGTGGGACCCTGACTTTCCTGGTACGAAGGAACCCCATGTAGCTCCTTTTCCTTATTCCAGAAGCTGCAGTCACAAGTCCACAAAGGTGCTCGTGCTCCATGAGTATCATTTTCTCCAGCCACATCATTACTTTTCATGGCTCTCCTTTCCTTCTTGAACAATAGTTGCCCGGAACTGAGTGTCAGGTTTTGGATAAGTACTTGATGAGCTTCAACTTATTTAATCCTCCCAGTAACCCTCCAAGTTAGGTACCATTATTACAGCAATCAACCCTTTTCTATAAAGAAAGAAGATGAGCTTTCAGGAAACTCCAGAACATGTTTGTGGCATAGCAAGTAAGATGAAGCCAAGCAAATCTCCAGATGGCCCACAGTTACTCTCTGCTCCATGTCACCTCCCCGGGAAGGCAGCCCTTCCGTGCTCCCCACATGGGGGTGGCTAATGATTTCTCTTTCTTGAGCTGAAGGGCTGGAGATCTGGAGCTACAGAGTAACTCAGGCCACAAAGACTTGTGGGCAGAACTCAGATCAAAGTCAAAGTAACCACTGTTTCCCCGGCTCTCATCTTTCCCAGCTAAGACTGGACCTTAGTTCCAGAAAGCTTCCCTCACATCTGGGGAGGGTATGGAATTGCCGGCAGCAGCCCCCATCTGCCCCAGTGGCCATCTATCCTCTTGAGGGCAGAACCCACTAAGACCCGAAGGTCAGTGCCACAGAGGGACCCCTAGACCCCCCACTGGCTGCCCATATGGCACCTGGGATCCTTGGGGCTGAAGGCTGGGAAGAATATCCCTCTCCTCACAATGGCTTCTGAGCAGTGAAGTTTTTTTTAAAAAAGATATATTTTCTGGAGGCATCATTTTTAACTGTGAAAAACACAATGCTACCATTCAAGAAAAAAATTAAATAATCATTCTAATCGCCCATAGTTCTACTACATTAAGACAACTTTTTAATTTTTATGATTTATCTTCAACATCTACACTCATTTTTGGAGTGTTTTAATCACACTCAGACAGTGTTTTAAAGCATATATGCACACCTATAATCCCCACACTTGGGAGACTGAGGCAAGAGGATCGCAGCAAATTCAAGGCCAACCCAGACTATATAGTGAATTCAAGGCCAGCTTCAACTACATAGAGAGACCCTATCTCAAAAAACCAAAAATAAATAAATAAATGAATAAATAAATAAATAAATAAATAAGACATATATAGCCTGTCAACTTAAATAAAACCAAAGAGAGATTCTCCAAAGTCTAATGAGATTTATTTGGAATAGCAGAACGTTGCAGTGGTAATATGTGTACCATACTCAAGGAGTTGGAGGCCAGGGGACTTTTTAAAGGCAAAAATGAGGAGGATTACACAAGTTGTTTTGAAATAATAATACTTGGCTAAAAGGGAGGCATTAGTTCAAGATTAAACAGATGCTGGGCAGATATCCTTGAGGAAGTATGTAAAGTTGTAGTTCTAGCGGACTAGTTCTCCTTATCAGGCATTGCATTCCCTCCTTTGTTTATATTTTTGGTGAGGGCTTGACAAAAGTGACTATATTTTGATTTTGACAATTTTCACACTTTCAAGCCAATAAACAAATCTCCAGGCAGGAGAAAAACATTTATGCATGTGCTCAAAGGTCTGATTTTCAGAATTATTCCCCAAGCAGAGGACAAGATTATGAGAGGAAGAGCAATAGAAAACAGAGGAACGTGGGCGCAGTTCCAAGCCTGGGCACTCCCTGTGGGTATCCATGAGCTGCTGAGAAATGGGAGTTGATGCTGGACCTAGTCCATGAAGAGCTGAAGAGCTGGGAATAGCTCTGTCATGCATCCTCAGTAGAATGAGGATGAGACCCTCAGTAGAATGGGAACAATGTCCCACCCCCACCCCCACCCCCTGCCCCCGCCTCCAACCATCTGGGAAAAGGAAGCATAAAAGAGAAATTGCAACAGGCAGCGTACTTCCTCCTGTCTCAGTTTTGGGACATGCCTGCCTAGCAGAAAGCAGCCCTGCGACAGAAGAGAGGAGGAGGAACGCTCTGCCACAGTCTAATCACAACACCAAGGTAATTTTAATTTTTATTCTTCTATCCTTGGCAAGAAGAGTGAATAGAAGCTTCTTTTTTTCCTCCAGGGGCATCTGAATCACACTGGAGGTCTGATGTCCTTTTTCTGTCTTCCTCAGGTTTCTCCTAAGTTGAGGACAGGTCTTATGTCTCAAAATTTAGGGTGCTTTAAAAATGCATGGAGCATTCTGGAGGGCATTTACTTTGGTAAAACAATGGAGGAAAACCACTTGGCCTGACTCATAACCTTGCCCCAGATTTGCAGTGCTTACACCCAGCCGCCATGAACAGGACAACATGCTAGAGCAGTGGGGAGTTCTAGGGCAGCAGAGGTCAGTGCAAGCTAACTGGCTGTAACCCAGTGTGGCTGCCACTTCCTGTTTTAGGCCTAGGGAGGCAAACAGAGATCAGATGCCACAGGTTAGCACAGGTTGAGGACATCTTTCTGTAATACGTACTGAGCTAGGTAGGACTAAGTGGGACTTCATTTTGTCTCTTCGCTTTAACACGAAGGAAAATGAGCTCATGTTCCAGCTCCTCTTCCAGGAGGCCCCACACTGTTCTTGGAGTGGGCACCAGAGGTTGGTCAGCCGGTGGTGACTCGTATTCTCTCTCCTCGTGGCCCTTTCAGAGCCGCGGCTGGGTTTGAATTCTGACCCTGGAAAGATCTGCCCTGTTTTGGAGTAGAAGCTCTTCCATGAGCCTGCGTGGGTCTGTGTACTTTCAAAGAGGAATATCTGATGTGTACCTCTGGCCTTTCTCCCCTAGGATTCAGCTTTGGTCACTATGGGTTCCGTGAATTCCAGAGGTCACAGGACAAAAATCCAGGTGGCAATGATGGGCTTGGACTCAGCAGGCAAGACCACTCTTCTGTACAAACTGAAGGGCTACCAGCTGGTGAAGACGGTCCCCACTATTGGTTTCAATGTGGAGCCGATTGAAGCTCTTGGGTACACACCACTGATTCTCTGGGACGTCGGGGGGCAGAGCCAGCTCAGGGCCAACTGGAAGGACTACCTGGAAGGCATTGACATCCTCGTGTATGTGCTGGACAGCACAGATGAAGCCCGGCTGCCTGAGGCAATAGCTGAGCTCATGAAAATCCTGAAGGACCCCAACATGGCTGGTGTTCCCTTTTTGGTGCTGGCCAACAAGCAGGAGGCACCTGGTGCTCTTCCACTGCTTGAGATTAAGAACAGGCTGGGACTGGAAAGATTAGAGGATCACTGCTGGGAGCTCCTGGCCTGCAGTGCCCTCACTGGTGAGGGGCTGCCTGAGGCCCTGAAGAGCCTGCGGAGCCTGCAGAAATCCCACAGCCGCGGCTGCCTCCATGTGAGAGCCCACAGGATGGGGAGAGCAAGAAATCCTGACCGGGCCTGAGCAGCTTATCTCTGCCCATAGGAACCGAAAGGGCCAGCTAATCCTTGAGAAACTTCAGCCCAGGTTAACAAACAAAAACATCTTTCTATTCTTGGACAGGATATTTTCTTTTTTGGAACTTAGTAGTGTTTATGTTGAAAACCAAATAGTCTTTGAACAGTGACACTCTAAGAAACTTAACACACTTTACTTACTAGTTCATTACCATGTGAATGAAGCAATAAGCGGTTACATATATAATAAAAAGTGAAGCCTAAGTTCACAAAGGCAAAGAGGTGTGAAAATCAGGTTTGAGTATCCTCTGGACATGGTCACAGTCACTGTGAATGATTTTCCGCAGTGGCTTCTGGGAATGTGCCAGGTCTGGCATAATCAGGGCTGGCAGCAGGCGGGTAGGTCTGCTCCCACAGAACCTGCAGTTGAGAGGTTCGCTGGGGTCCTCCACCCTGGCCAAAGGGGGTTGGGAGTTAAGGCCTTTCACAATGCACCCTCCTCTCTAACTCTGATGAACACTTGTCCAGCCTTTGTCATTCCATGCTGGTCTTTTTCCTCCACCTTCATTTAGTTTCTTTTTTCCTTCTCTTTTTTCTTTCTTTATAGCACGTATCTTTCCTTAAGGACCTTTTGGTTATTTCACTCATTTAATAACTTAATCAGAAAGTATGTAGAGCATTTAATTTGTGGCAAAAAGCACTGAGTTTTTAGATGTGGACCAGGTGTTTGTAGATGTTGTGAATTCTGAAGATAAGGATGACAACAAAGCTCTCTCCGTTATTCATAGTACACTGAAGATCAGAACGCAGACAGCGTGCTTAGAAGGGCTTTCAGGGGATTATTACCAAGGATCTACAAAGGTTCTGAACTTATTTGCAAAACATTATGCTTTGGGTTGTTTTTAAAGAAGAAGGTCCACAACTTTTACAGACTTTCAAAGACAGCTGGGACTCCCTAAAATTAAGAATCACTGATCTAATCTTACCCCTCATTCAACCTGGGGACCCTTTATGTCATATGAGTGTTTTTGATGGCAAAGAGCTTACATTTGATGCCGGTTCTCATGTGATGCAGCACTAACAATCAAATAGCCCTTTCTCTCCTGTGTTAAAATCAACTTCTGTGTAGCTGCTGCTGGTGGTTCTGTCCTCTTTGAAGTAACACAGTACAAACTGGCCCGTGGAGCCCTCCTAACATCAGACCTGCCGCTCCTCTGCCCCGATTCTTCCCTGCCACCATGAGCTTTGCGTGCCTGATTCTTGCTAATTCTCATCAGTTACCATGTTTTAAGGCTTCCTGTGTTAGACACTAATGACACAAGCGTGAATGAGCAAGGGCCCCACGCCATGAAGTCGGTTAGAGAAGCCAGGCTCTGGGGCTGGGCTCTGAGCTTGCTGTTGTATGTAGATCACCTCTATGTTTCACAACTCCGCAAAGCAGGTATATTCTCATTTTATATAATGAGAAACAGAGGCTTAGAGAGCTCATGATTTCTCGCTGCTTGAGGCACAGAGCTAGTAGGTGACAACTGGAATCTGAAACAAGCTGTGGCGAGCCCTGTTGCATGCATTCTTCCCTGACATCATGCTTTTAGGAGGTTTAAGCGAGGGTAGGCCTCCAGCCAGCAGATGTGCTGGAGGAGTACCCTTGTCGGAGGGGAGAGACAGCTTGGAAGCAGGAGGGCGGGAGTAGGGAGGATTACTAAGCCCAGGTACCAGGAACAGGAGGTTGGGGTGAGGGCTGAGAAAGGGTAACGTTATAACAGGAAAAAAAAAACTGAAAAGGAAGTTTAGGTCAAGTTGGGGATGGCTGCTCAGACTTCAGGAGTTTGACTCGGACACGAAATCATGGGGCTTACAGCTAGGAGGTTAACAGTGGCAGCATGGGGGCGTACAGAGAAGGCGGGTACTCTGGGAACAAGGAGGGACATGGAGACCAGCTGGGTGAGCTGCGGGAGAGAGGAGAAGGAGAGAAGAAGAGAAATGATAAAATTGAGGGTTTTTTTTTTCTTTTGTCTTTTCGAGACAGGGTCTCCCTATGCAGTTTAGGCTGGCCTTGAGCTTACTTTGTAGCCCAGGCTGGTCTGGTCTCGAACTTGCAATGATCCTCCTATGTGATGGGATTACAGGAGTGCGCCACCACGCCCAGCAAAGTTGAGTTATTTTTAAGGGAAGAAGTTGAGAGAGGAAGAATTTGAAGATGGCTTAAGATTTTGAGCCTGTATGACAAGAACCAGATGCCACAAACAGAGGAGGAAAAGCTAGGCAGGGGCTGAGCCATTGGGTTCTATGTTTGAGATGCTGGAGGCGAACTCAATTACAGCTTCTTTAAGGTCGTTCTGTAACTGCAGTCCTGGAGATGCTGCCCACCTGCTGTAGGTGTCTATGGGCTCCCGTTCAGGAAGGTTCACTTCCTCACAGGATATGTCACTTGTGAGCTCGTCGCCAGTAGGATTTGTTTTTCCTATGTGACTTCCAAGTGGCCTCGGTTGTGATATGGCCTCTAAAGAATTTCTTCCTTCCTTCCTTCCTCCCTTCCTTCCTCCCTTCTTTTTCTTTCTTTCTTTCCTTCCTTCCTTCTTTCTTTTCTTTCTTTCTCTTTCTTTTTCCCTTCTGCAGTCCTAGAGATTGAACCCATTTTGCATAAAACCAAAAAACAGCTGGGATCCCAGAGACGTCAATTGTTTTAGACTAAATATTACATTGTTTACCTTCTTGGGCTCCTGGACTTCACAGGTAGTCTAAATCTGGACTTTGGAGCTGGAGATAGAACACTTGTCTAGAATGCACAAGGTCCTGGGTCGGATGCCTAGCACCACCCATAAAGGAAAAAAAAAAGTATCTGCACTCTGAAGCCAGGGGTGGTGATGCATGCCTGTAATCTTAGCACTTGGGAGGCTGAGTCAGGAGGATTATCATGAGTTCAAGGCAAACCTCCGCTATATAGTAAGTTCATGGTCAGCCTGAAATGCATAAAAAGACCTTGTCTCAAAAAAAAAAAAAAAAAAGAAAAAAAAAAGAAAAAAAGAAAAACTGGACTCTGATCCTATTCCATGCACAGGCTCCAGAGTCCATTTCTATTTCAGACAGATATGCTTTTCTTACCCCCATGACCAAAGACAGATACTTTCCTGAGCTCATGGATAGCATTTTCTAATCTCCTTTTAAAGCAGGGGTACATCTGTGATGCTCTTGCTTTTCTGTGGAACTCAGGTCCACAGCTCTGCTCCAAGCAAGCCTATGGCCACATGGGAGCCAGAGCCTCGGAAGTGTCCAAGAACTTCAATATGGCTCCTCTAAAATCTCCACAGGCTCCAGACTTCCTGCTTTTGCTGTGGGTTCATTTTTTCTACCAGAGAAATTTCTTCCTTTTGTTCAAAGACAGCATACACTAAAAAATTTTAAATGTACTTTTTGTTTATAGTTAACTTTTTTTTTTTTTTTTTTTTTTTTTAGGACAGGGTCTCACTGTGTATTTCAGGCTGGCCTTGAACTCACTATATAGTTTAGGCTGGCTAGAACTCAGGGCAATCCTCCCGCCTCAGCCTCTTGAGAGCTGGGATGACAGGCATGTACCGTCACACCTGGCTTAGTTTATGGAGTATTTCCCTGACTTTGCATTGGGAAGACCATCTGCTGTATTGCTAGATGTCCTGAACTTGTTTTGCTATGTGACTGGAGACTTCCCAGAGTGCTGGCAAGAGGGTGACATGATGAGATCTGCACTGAGGAAGACACTGGGCAGCGTTTGGGTGGAGAGAAGATTCTGAAAGCAGAGTGCTCCAAGAAGACCGGCAGTGTCTTTGGATCTGGGCGCACACTACTGACACCACTGGTCTGCAGACCGTCCCCACAGATGCCGCACCGTGTTACTGTCATCCTTTTCCTTTTTCTCTTGAAAATTCCTCCACTTCAGCCAGGCCAGTTTCCTCGTTGGCCCTAGGAAGCACAGTGTAATCCTTGAAAGCAGATGAGGTTGGTCTTAAAAAGCCTCAAGAATCTCCTTTCATCAATTCCCTCTAATAAGGTTTCCAAGAAAGGGTAACAAGAGCAGAATATCACAACAATGCCCAGTGTTAAGTATAACTCCCTACTGGTCCACCTGGAAGGCAGTGGATATCAAATCACTTATGATGGTCCAGTTGATAGGAACCATGTCACTTTCTGGATGGAAGGTAGATCTGAGACCCTCAGAGTCCAAGGACAGCTCTGTCAGCCTTGTACTCAACTGGTTTCTGAAACATTAGCCTGAAGTGAGCATGGGAATCCCATAGGTATCCCTGTGTACCCTCCAGGGATTTCTGATGTCCCTGGTGCATGTGCTCTGACCTGTCAAGTTTCCATGTCAGGTAGGCAGCTTGTAATGACCATAGTGGTGGTAGCAATCCTGTAAGAGAACATAACTTTAGGGAAGTCCCCTAATACCCTTGCTCTTCCATAGGTTTAAGTTGTTTTCCTGCCCTTGAACCTCCTGTTCAAATCCTACCCACATTACTTAAGGACACTCAGATTCCACCTCACCAGAAAGTTGGCTCTAGGCTCCAGGAAGCTCCAGTCTACGTCCTGTGAATTCCTGTGGTACTGATTGTTCAGGCTCCACTTCTGAGAGCCCAGTATCCTTCTGCCGTGACTGGGACGGTATGAGTCCCTAGTGATGAGGGGCCTTATATCCCTTTGAAATTCTTCAAAGCCTGAAATAATAGGAAAAACTGAAAGTTGTTCATTAAATTCCTGGATGGATAGTGAGTAACTAACTAAAGTCAGGGAACTGGGTGTCACAGTGGGGAGCCCCCAGGTCCTCTGAAGTGTCTAGAATAAAATCCAAAACTGAGAACGCCAAGGAACTCATTGGCTTGAGAGTCACCATGGCAGCACTGATCTCTATCTTAGGCCTCCTCTATAACAAAAAGTCATACATACTCTGTCCAGAGCATGTTATACTCAGAGTTACCCGTTAATCTGTGTAGGACAGAGGTTAGTAAGGGAGCACCTATAATCAGACCAGAAGTCTAACAGGGTTGACGAGATTAAATCGCTCAGTATGTGCCGCTACTATAGACAGGGAAGTTAGGTAGAAGACAGCAGACAGCTATGGAGGGACCAGGCCCAAGGCAGAATCAGGATGACCAGGCCTTGGCTGGATAAGCAGGAGGCTGACATCAGGAGTTAACAAAAACCAGATGGGCGATTAAGTCCAGGATGTAACAAACAAAATAACAAGCAAGGTCCTGGATGTCCAGGAGGATGACTTCTGTTCTGGCCTTTCTGAAAAACATTTTTCCATTATACCTCACTTTGTTCTTTTAATAAACTTAGAGAGGATAGAGGCCAAGAGACACGTACAGACATACACGTGCTACGTGCCCTGATTCTCAAAGTTCCATTTCTAGTTTAAGTAAGTTTGCTTTAAGCTGGGCATGGTGGTGCATGCCTATCATTTTAGCAGTCTGGAGGTTGAGGCAGGAGGACTGTCACGAATTTGAGGTCAGCCTGGGCTACATAGTGAGTTCAAGGCCAGCCTGAACTACAAAGTAAGACCCTGTCTCAAAAAAAAAAAAAAGAAAGAAAGAAAGAAAAAAAAAAGTGAGTTTGTTTTAGTCCCACAGGCTGAGTTTAGTTTGATCTGAGTGGCCTGAGTCCCAGTCATTTTTATAAAAACTCCCAGAGTCTCCTTGGCAACCCAATTGCGGGTCCCCTCCTGACTGACTATTGGAAGCTATTTCTCTCTTCTTAATAAACATTCCTCTGTCTACCTCTTGTGTCCTTGATTTCATTCTTCAACTTTATCAGATATATACCCAGATTATACAACTCTTGCTTTGGTATCTGAGTCAAGACTGGCAAGGCCCAAGTGGGGGAAGGAGATACTAGCCCTTTCTGCCACTGCTTAGGTCTGTAAAAGAAAATGTAAATAAAAAATAAGAGACAGAAGGACCTGAGGGTGCAGCTCAGTCGTAGAGCACTCATCTAGCATGGTCAAGGCTCTGAGTGTCTTCCTCCGCACCACAAAAAAGAGAGAAGCCAGGTGTGGTGCCCTTCCTGTAACTCCAGCGCTCTGGAAGGCTAGGGTAGAATAACGATTCATTTAAACCTAGCCTGGTCAGTGTAGAGAAGTAGTGAGATCCTGCCTCAAAATTTTAAAAGGGTTGAGATGTAGCTCAGGCTCTGGGTTCAATCCCCAGTATTGTAAAAGAAGAAGAAAAAAAGAAAAGAAAGGAAAATGAGAAAGATAAAGATAAAAGGGGCTTAATTCTCCCTGTTGAAAATGATAGAAGAGACTTCATTCTTTTTTCTTAGAGCATTGACTTTACGAGACTTTCAATTTTAGCTCTTTCCTCTGTCTCTGAGATATATATAAATCTTTTTGGTAGCTCTAGGACTTAGGCATGTCTTATTCCAGAATGAAGGTGCCATCTCTGAAATGTAATTCTAAGGGAGATTGTGGGGTCTCCAGGTTCAGGGGGATGGTGAGAGCCTAACCTTCTTGTCAGTTGCAAAACTACCCTGTTCTAAAGGTAGCAGTTTGGTTTTTCTTTTGGATAAGTCAATTAACTATGGCAGATGGTGACCCCACTCACTGGATTAGTCTATGAAGGCCGTGTGACAGTCAGGGCCTCTTGCTTGGTGACTGGCCTGTCATCATGTGCCCTGAGAACGTCTGGTCTGTCTCCGTCATCTCTCAGGGACTGCCTGAACACGGGATTTCTGCTGAGTGCTTTCTCAGTAAGACAGTTTCCTTCCCTGCTATCTTCATGGTGAGGTCTTCTGGTTTGGCAGTGTCTTGATTACTTTTCTCTCCTTGTTGGGACAAAATACCTGGTGCCCAAAATTAAGGAAGGAAAAGTTTATTTCTCTTACAGTTTGTGGAGGTTTCAGTCTGTACTTGGCAAGTTAAAGGCAGAGTGGCACATGGCAGAGCGCTACAGCTCATGGCGGCAGAACACAGCAAAAGCAACAAGCACACAAGGGAGGAATGGCTGGGAGCAGCCTCTTCCTCTCCCTTACATATGCAAACTATCCACCCTGGGGCTGGTGTAGCTCTCACACCCATAATCAATCAAACTCTAAAAGCCTGCCCCATGACCGCATGAGGCTTTGGGGGGACACCCAGACACAAACCATAACATTCCACCCCTGGCCCCCCAAAGACTCATGCCCATCCCTTTATACAAACAGGATTTAGTCCATCTGCCAGAGTTGCCAAAGTCCTAACAGTTGCAGCACTGCTGAAGAATCCAAGTCCCAAGTCTCCCCCAAAATGTAAGGCAAACTCTCAGCTGTGACCCCTGTACAAATGAAAAGTTAAACACTTCTAACATTCAATGGCACAAAATAAGCAGTAGCATTCCAAAAGGTACAAACAGGGGGATACAGAGCATTGGGACCAAAGCAAGTCCAGAATCCAGCAGAGCTAACGTTATAACCTGTAGTTCCATGACCAGCATCTGAAGCAATCTGTGGCACATTGTAAGCTCCAAAGGGCTTGCATGAGTCCA